CTCTTAGAATGGGCTGTAATAATAAACATTGGTCCATGGACACAAAGTCTAAAAGAACTCAAAACAGACCTAATGAGAAACAGAAAGCAAGTCTCAGAAGCATCCTGTAACAGAACTTATAAAATGTAATCAGATTTGCCTCTCTTTTATACCGGATTCCCATTTGTGGGGAGGTAACCTCTCAAATCCTGAAGTCAGCAACCCAGTATCACTGAATCTTCAGTAAACCAAGAGCCCAGTACTTTCCATCTGGGGATTTGTCACTTTCAGAATTCTCCAGACTCCTCCCGACAGAGCTGCAATAGAGTTCACCTTTAGGGTAAGCAGTTAAGAGCTACCTTTTTAATCTCACATTTCTGAAAAGGTGGTTAACTGCCACTGCCTTTCTTCTTGCTGCTGCTTGTTTTAATTAACAGCATTTCTTCTCCCTGTGTCTCCTGGGGCTTTGAAGAGCTCTCTGAAATGTATTTAGTATATTTTAGTCTTGGTTTGGCATAGTCTCTCAATTTATGAGGTCATTTAATTCAAGTTCAATTATTCAGCACAAATTGGCAGAATGAAATGCTAAAAGAAGATTGGCACTTTCAATCGCATAAATCTCATGTTACATAAAGTGAGCAAATTTCTCCATTGTTCTTATTGACCTCTGAGGTAACAATTTATGGCTGGCACAAACCAGTGTGGGCAGGCTTCTCTGGAATAAGGCTTTGGCATCCTCACCTCAAGAAAATGAAGATAAACAAACAAAAATGATCAGAAACAAGAAATATTTCTGGGATGCCTTAGTTTGAGCAAGGCCACCAAGTCCCAGACGTGGAATAAAGAACAAGATTTTCCTGCTGTAAATGACACTGAAAATATGAGAAAAATGTTTATTGCAGCATTGTTTACAATAGGTAAGCCATGGAAGCAATCTAAATGCCCAAAAACAGATAGCTGGATCAAGATGTGGGACATATACACAATGGAATATTAGTCAGCAATTAAAAAAGATAAACGCGTGCCATTCTCACACCATGTGTGGAGCTAGAAGGGATTATGCTCAGTAAAATATTATTATTTGAAATATTTGTTATTTTAAAATATCTTTAACTCAGCACCTATTCACACACTCTCTGGTGAATCCTTTCACCCACCATACTCTCTGGTTTGTACCCCAGTTCTGTAAGCATAAACAAATAAATCTTTTAAAAAATAAATAAATAAACAAACAGCCATATCTTTAAGAACCAGCTCATTTCCAAGGGGACTTTACAGCACAAGAATCTCAGGCAACTTCTCCCAACCTATGTGTCCTCATAGAAAAGTAACTCAAAAGATTTAAAAATAAGACAGTTTTTCAGTTCTCAAGTTAGTAATCTAGCAAACAACAGTACCAAAATCAACAACTACACAAATCTCTTAACAAAAAACTGGGGGAAAGAAGATTCTTTGTTCATATGATTTTAACAGGAGCCACAAAATTAAAGATGGCTTAAAGATAATGGAGTTTGAAATTAATAAATGTTATGGATTAAATTGTATCCTCCAAAAAAGAGATGTTGAGGTGCTAACCCCTACTACTTCAGAATGCGACCTCATTCAGAAACAGGGTCTTCACAGAGGTAATCAAGTTAATCTGCGGTCATTATGGAATGCTGATTCCAATATGACCTATGTCCTTATAAAAAGGGGAAATTTGGACACAGAATAAGATATATACCATGTGCATAAGAGTGCAGTGATAAGGTGATGAATCCACAAGCCAGGAGTACTGCAGCCTATCAGCACACCAGAATTAGGAGAGAGGCGAGTAGTAATTCCCCCTTACAGAACCAACTCTCAGAAGGAACCAACTCAGCCAACATGGAGATCTTAGATGTAGCTTCCAGAAATGTGAGATGATACATCTTGTTATTTAAATTACCCAGTCTGTGGTTCTTTGTTTCAGTACAATGAAGTTCATGGCAAAATCCAAACTTGACAATTATAAATCAACAGATGTTAGGTAAAATGCTTATAAACCAAAAAACAGCAGAACTGCAAACACCAGGTAGTTTTGCTGATAGTTATTAATAGCTTATTACTCAAAGCTAATAATAGCTGCCCTTGGGAAAGATGCTAAAGATAATACTTAACGATGGAGACAGGGATGCAGATATTTATGGAAGAGTGGTGAAGAGTACTAGAAAGGAATTTTAGCTAATTTAGTTAGCTTTTCAAATTATATAGTGTTTCAGGGAACACCCCAAAACCAACTCATTGCTAAAGTCTTGCTAAATGGATGGTAACTGGGATTCACTGGCCTTATCTTGCCACCTTAAAGCAAGCAAGCACGGGCAGTCTGTCAACTCTTAAAAGAAGGTAAACAGACAATGGCTTTCATCTCGAACTGAAGGAAATTAAATACTGCATGTGGTCAGTAGGCTTGAAACTGCTTGAGAAATGATGACAAGATGTATTTAGACCTGCTGAATGGAAAAGTATAACTGTCCAGAGCCATCCTTCTCAAAAACTACAAATATTTAAAAGACATAATAAATGGAGAATTTTTCAAATATCTCCAAGATGTTGACCTAAATCTTAAAGTATCCATTAGAAAGAGTTAATTTACACTTGGAAATGAGCTGAGCACTAAGAAAGTACTTCAAAATGATTGGTGTGTTTCCTTATAATGAACTATGTTTACTTCAGTTTGATTCACAATTAAAACAAGTGAGAGCATATGTGAAAAACATCTGGAATACTACACAAGGACAGTCTGTCTAAGGAAGGCCTTATACTGTGGAAACAGTATCATAGAATGCTTCAGAACTGAATGGATTCAAGCCAGACAGACATGGCCAAAGTCAGGTTTGTGACTGTACACCTACATAGATCTGGAAAAGTGACTAAAACACTGTAGATATCAAGATTCCTGGATTAATGGAGGTCAATAACAAGATTTACCTATAGAGAGTTATGGAGAGTAAAGAGACAATGGTATATGGAATTTTATGTGAATTGCTTAATCCAGTGCTGTTGTTTTTCACACTATTGACATTATATGTACAATGTTTGACATTAAATGTATATTGTTTATAGGAAGAGTACAGTTTTTCTTTAGGAAATAATAAAAACACTGGTATACAAACTTTTTTTTTTTTGAAATTTAGCTAAACAATTTAGAACATTACCATGACATTCCATAAAATTCAAGCAATATAGTTAAATTATCCAAAGTACGCCAGACCTTATGTTGTGTTTTTCTTTCCCATCATGTTTACTTTTCATTCAAATAGAAAAAAATACTTTTTTATAAATATCCAAGAGCTCAAAATTAAAGCTACTACTTTTGATTTATCATATTTCTACATTTCTGTACTTCCGTATCTTTTTGAGTCTTTCACCTTCCTAACTTAAAAAGCATGAACAAAAATGCAAGGCAACACCTCTGAGCAGCCAAAATTACTTAAATAAGCACACAGCCAAGTTTCCAAGCATTTGCTTAGAATGATTCTATAGAGGATTTTGTTCTACATCTTTTTTATTTAATTGCTAGATATAGAATTCACTGTCTTCTATAATGATCTAAAAGAAAGGAGTTTAAAAAACGGGTGGTTTAGAAATATTTTTTCGACATTTGGTAATGTTATTAAAGTAAAATAAGGTTGTGTCTCCTGCTCTTATTTCAGAAATAACATGTCCTCCACGAGCTCTAAAAACTGTCCTTAATCAAGGAAGCCTATCTGAAATATGTGAAGACCAGCTTCTTAAGAATCTAAATCTGCACCTGACCTCAGATACCATGGGAGAAAAGGACAAAAAGGGGAAAGAGTTGTTGCTGGTTGGTCTTTTTTAATTGAAATATTAATATATTATTTTCAGGTATACAGCATAATAATCTGTATATATTGCAAAATAATCACCAAATAAGTCTGATTAGCATTCATCACTAAGCATAATTACAAATTTATTTTTCTTATAATGAGAGAAGGCTTAAAATTTACTCTCTTAGCAACTTTCAAATGTGCAATACACCATTAACTATCATTACCACATTGTGCAATACATCACCGGGACTTAATTATTTTATAGATGAATATTATACAGCTTCAACCTCTCCAACTTTGGCAATCACAAATTTTTTGTCTGTACCTAAACTTAGTTTTTATTTTGTTTTGTTTTTCCAAATATGTGTGGTATTGTATTATGTGTCTTTCTGTGTCTGACTTATTTTATTTAACATGATACCCTCCAGATCCACCTATGTTGTCACAAATGACAAGAGTTCTTTTTTTTCATGGCTGAACAATATTCTATTGTGTGTGTGTGTGTGTGTGTATATATATATACATATATATATGTATATATATATAATTTTATCTCTATCCATTTATCCATTGATAGACACTTAGGTTATTTTCGTATCTTGGCTATTCTAAGTAATGCTGTAATATACCTGGAATGCAAATATCAAGTCTCTATAGAAATAAATGCCATAGTAGTGAGGTAGAAAGATTTTATAGTTTGTTTTTGAGTTGGTTTGTTTTTTTAACTGACTTCTGAAAAATGGATCAAAAGTTCAGTTTAACTGAGATTGAAAAATACACAAAATGATGTAAAAAAACTAAACTTAAATTTTTAAAAGTTCAGTTTAAAAGAAGTATGATCAATACATTTGGCTTTGTCAAATCAATACTTTTATTTTTACACAAATTTTAAGCACCTCTAAAAGAAAATAATCACACAATTCACCTGGAAATGAGTTCTCCTGCGATGGTTCCAAATTCCAATAAAAGAAAAAGAAAACAAGATTGGGGGAATGGCAGGGCAGAGAAGATAAATAGGACAAGTCTGTAAAATTGTTTGCTAGCAGATAAAAACAATTCTACTGACCTTTGTATTTGTTTGAAAAAAAAAAAACTTGATTGGGGAAACCTATTGTATGTATTAAATGAGAATTATTTAAATATATTGCTACTTAATAAAGGAGCAAATATATTTCTACATGTTAAATATTCAAAAACAAATTAACTTACTTGCTTTTCCCTTTGTATACTGTAGCATAAGATCCTTCTCCTAGTTTTTCCAGTTTTTCATATGAGTCAGCTTTTCCAAATTTGGGACTGGTAGGCTAAAAATGGAGCAGAGGGTAAACAAAACAGATTGTATCATATTAATTAACAATATATAAACCAATTTTGCTGAAAATGTACAGACTACCACTTTTTAAATAACTATTTTTTTTCTATTATAAGAAAAATTTTAAACCAACATAATAAGCAGGGCACAAATCTCAGAATATACAAATGAAGACAGTATAGAAGTATAAATTTATCCTAATATAACCACCAAGATAAATTACTGTTAATATATTGATAGTCCTTTATTCTACTCTAATGCTATTAATTGTTTTTACATATACGTGGTATTATACTGTACATACAATTCTGTAACCTGGTTTTTTTAAACCCAATATATTATGATTACTTACCATGTTATTATTATATAATCTTCCAAATTAAGGACTGGCAAGCTATGAACCATGAACCAAATCCAGATCACCACCAATTTGTGTATATCCCATAAGTTTAAAATTATGTTTACATTGTTTTTAATTAGGGAGTGGTCAATTTAAGAAAATTTCACAGCAGGTGGAAATTAAATTTTAGCATCCATAAAGTTTTATTGGAGTACACTCATTCATTAACATATTGTCTTATGATTTTCAAGTTACAATGAAGTTGTACCTGCAGCAAAGATAACCTGCCTGATAAGATTAGCTATATTTACTAACTAACCCTTCTTGTAAATCATGACTGTATAGTATCAGTAATACTCCTCCAATACCTTTCTGTGACACTGCAAACAGATAACAAAAGATATTTCATTTCAGATGGCATTAATTAATACAAAGACTCTCTCATATATACACAAATCAATACTTAAGGTTTCATTGGAAAAAAAAAGGGGGGAGGGTACAGACCCTTTCAGCCAAAAGAGTACATAACTTCATCACTCTTGTGCTCAACTTTTATCCCACTTCCACCAGAGAACAAGAAAAGGGAATGTTGTCCTCTCCATGGGGATAAACTGTCTACTATTTTATTATCACTATAGAGAAGTAGCAGCAGTACCAAAGAGTATTAGAAAATTGTAATAATGTAAGGATTTAAATACATCATAATAGGTTTATTTGATAACAGTTGCAAGTACAACTGTTATAATTATAAATAATAAATAATTAATACAAAGTCACTAATAATTGTGGTCCTCCATAAGTAATTTCAGAAGCTTAGTGAAAGAATTTCTTGCAAAAATTTATAATACACTATTCTTTTTTCCCCCAAAGATTTTATTTATTTATTTTTGCATAGAAGAACTGAGGTATAGGTCAAAAGTGCAAGGGGTGAGAGGATTCACTAGAGGCAGAGTGGGAAAAAAACAGGTAGATTAACTGAAATACCCTGCTAGGAGGAGCACTGGATGAAACAGAACAGGTCTGCTGTGCCAGACCCTAGCTTCTCAGCCAGGGATCAAACTCAGTTTATCCAAGTGATAGCACTGAGACTTACCCCCTAGGCCACCAGGAAGTACCTACACTATGCTTGAGTTTGTGCTCTTGTGTCACTTACAAAAAATCGCAACATACCAGCAATGAATCTGATTCCCACTGTTTACAAGAATTCTATGATAATCTGAATATATGTTTCTTGCCTCTCTTTCACCAAAAATGCTGCTAAGGGACTAAACATACATTTTTTCAGATATAATAAATTATCAGGAATGGATTAACAGACAGTAACAATATCTAACAAAAATTCTGAGGAATTCTGAAAGCTATAAAGTAATTGGGATTAAAACTTAAAAGAAAAACTAGTGATATCTAAAGCTTCAACATGCAGGAGAAGGATTACTATACAAAGCCAACAGGTAAATATAAGACAAACCTACATAGTTGAGCTCATGGCATACTCCAAAACAAATTGCAGAAGCATCTGCATGGTGGATACAGCTGAGAACATAAATATTCAGGCAAGAGAAGCAGAGCCAGGTCCAAGAAACTAATACTCAGACAAAGGATGACATCCCCACCTCCTCAAATTGCAAACCTTACCTCCTACATGCAATCACTAGAGAGAATTTCCATAAAGCAAAATAAGCTAACTCCAATTCTCAACTACAAAAATGAGCATATAACCAAAAATTACCAGTCATTTAAGGAAAATCAACACTTGAAAAGGAAGCATAAAATTCAGTAGGCAAATAAACTAAAATACTATAAAGTTCACTGAAAAAGATAATTTTAAATTAAAATGACCAATGTCTTTGGAGAGAACTGAGAAGATATATTTCTTTGAAAAGAAACAATTTTCAGATCTTAGGGATGAAATATTTAATGAGCAAAATTAAACATGTAATGGCACTGAATACAAAAAAAGGACAGAGTTGAGAAAGTAATAAGCTCAAAATTTGAACAGAATTCTCCCATAAAACTTTTGGAAAAGGTTGCATCTAAAAAGAAAAGTTATCCAACTA